CGAACTTCCCCGATCTCAAACTTTGTGGGCGGGACTACGTTCGGAATGGCACCCAGGCTACTGGATCGGGGCCTTGCCTGATACGTATCCGTATCGGTGCAACACTTGTAGAAACACTAATGTAATCTGGTTGCAGTAGCTCTATCATTTGTTTTCTAGGTCTGACTTACACAATCATAGTTTCCTAAAAATTCCCACGTTACTCATGAAATGTTTTAATGTAGAGCAGTTAGCAGATATACAAGAATACGATTTTCTTGTTAAATTTGGCTGCTGTTATAACTACAGATTTTAACTTGATAAATAAAATTGTTCTACTGCTTTATGAACTTGAAACCTTGCGTTAGATGTTTACTTAAACATATAAGCAAATCTCTATCCTGCACCTAATGTCACCTACAGATCTTTTGGCAGCAATTTTACAGAAAAAAATTCAATATAAATAATTGTTTTATAACTTTTAAGAGTGCGGAAATAAATACATGTGTATGTCTGGTAAACATGTAAAGCTCTTTGAATGATCTTTGTGATGAATTGTGTTAATGCAAATAAACTTGCCTTGCTTTGGTTACGATGCCAACTTTGATACGACAGGATTTTGCACCAATAGGAATAAAGAAAAGAGCTGAGAAATGATCAAAAGTTAGCATTAGCGGATCTGGCATCAGGCTAGTAAACGTTATGGAATAAGAGCAGGTGGGCATTTCTGTGCCACTTACTGGCCAGTTGGAGTTAAAGCTATCATGTTTACCTGAATTAAAAAAAAATTATTGAAAGTTTGACTTAATTTTTCATTTTCAAAAAATTTAGTGTAGGAATAAAAGCGCAAATGTTTAAGATAACACCTGATTGTTGGAATAAAACAAAATTTGGCAATTATAACTTGAATTAACATATACAGATCTTTACCTTTACCAATATTGTATTTGTCTGAGTGGATGAATCAAAATCAGTTTAGTTTATGTTTGTAGCACCAATTCACAGCAACCAATAAATGTCCAATACAATCCAGCTTTACCACTAAAATGTCCAGGACCAAAGTGCTGTACAGTGAACAACATGAATTCTAAACAACCAAGAGGATCTAAATTAAATAAACACAGAAGCATAAAATACAATAAGAAAAATTTAATCAGAATTAGAGAAATATGTAATGAAAACAGCTTAAAATCACAGGCTAGGATTATAGGATAAGCCTGTGATATGAGTTTTAAGGAGCAATTTAATGTGTATTGGAAGGTCGTTCCACATATTTGGAGCTGTACAGAAAAAGCATAATACCCCCTTAAGCTTCTATTTGGTTTAAGGCTTTTTTTTTTTTTTTATTTAGGTCATTCGAGTTATAGACAGATTCCTGCCAAGTGCGTACAGTTGATTCATTTTGCTTTCTGTTCACGTTTGTCAATCTGACCACAGGTGTTCCCAGAGAGACTGAGAAGGAGAAGGAGTTTGCAGATTTTGACATCTTTGATGACCCAGAGTCACCATTTTCCACTTTCAACTTCCAGTACTCCAATGAGGCTTTCACCCGCCTTCATGACCTCATGGAGTTCAACACTTTAAACAACCTGGAGGTCAGTTGGGTGATGTTGCAAGACTGGAACAAATCATATTTCTGTACCAGTCAGGAACCAGTTATTCTGTCTGTATTAAGTCTTGCAGTGTGTCAGAAACACGGTCACAAAGGGATTGGAGAGTGATTCATTCAAACTGCTTACACAGGCCAATTAATTCCTGCTCAGGGCCTCGGCTATCCAGTGTTTATCTTACTTTATTCGATGCTGTCAGGAGGAAGTTTTGGATTTATGAAGAAAGTATTGGGCAATATCAAAAATTTTAAGAACGCCCCAGTAAGCCTGGATCATGCATGTTTGGACTTGCTTGTGGTAGGTCAGTCTCATTTGCTTACTTACTCGCACTGAGTCACTCCCTAGCTCAGTAATAATTCATTTTTGATACCAGATATTTCATTTTACCTGACGGTAATTTAAATCAGGCAAATTTCCCTGTAAGGTATTACACGATCTTGCCAAAATTATCCTGCAAAAAGGAATGTTTGAGTGCGTGTTATGATCACCTGATATGGTGATTATGTGTATTTTATGCACAGAACAACTCATAAAATTAAATATAAAAATCTGAATACCCTACTTTTCCATGTTTATTGAATAAGAACTGGAGGAAAAAGGAAACCACAGGTTGTTAAATACTATCTAGGATTTAGCTGCTTGTGGCTTATTTAGTAGATTTATTGATTTACTGCAGTTGAGAATTTCATTACAAGCCTCACCATTTTTCCTTTAACCATTGCTACTTGAGTTGGAACTGAAGCTTGTTGCATGACCCAAGTTTTGGTTAGACAAGTGGCTTCTTATTTAACTCTGTAGTAGTTGGTTGTATATGTAAGAAGTCATGGCGTACTCAATGTAACCAGGTCAGGTTACATAGCTCTATTTACACTACCCTCAGAAAACTAATCTGTGCCGAGTTCGGACCAAGCTTTGATCCATTAACCATGCCGAGCTTGGTTGCTTAGATATCAAGCTAGCACGGTTACTTGCATACTAGTGAGGATCTACGATACTACTGTACTACAGGAAGTTTGGTTATAATTGCGGAGAGTCAAGCGAAGAAGGCGGCCTTTGGTGAATTTACTTGACAGAGTCGGCTATTGGGAAGTGGATACGTCAAACGATAGTCTAATCAGGGCTTACAGATACAGGAAACAACGACAGACGTTGAAGCTCATCACACTGCTAGGCAGAATTATCATTAAATTATTTTTTAATTTAAGGCCTTAATTGGCATTAAAATTTATTAAATTGGATTATTTTGGCATTTAAAATGCTTTATTAAAAAAATATTTATGTTTATAAAAACAATTTTGTCAGATATATCGCAATATATTTGTGCGAAACTGCTTCCGTCTTTGCTCGTAAAGCTGTATGTTCGGAAAAGACATTTTGCCG